CCCCAAAACCCCAAAACCCCAAAACCCCAAAACACATAATGATTAATGATAGTAAAATTGATTTTTTAGTTTTTTTAATAAACTTTTAACAATTGGAATTTTAAATTACTTTGCTTGAAAATAAGCTGCTCATAGCAAATATGTGCTGAATAATACATATTTAAATTCAACTCCATAACAGCAACTTAATTATTAAACTTAGCAAAGTCATTTTCAATGATAATAATCGCATTTTTTATCTCTGAGCCTCTTCATTAATCTTGTGATGTTGAATCTTAAGAAATTGTATCTTCAGGTTACTTTCTCACAAGATTTTTTGATTTGATCAATGATATCAAATTCAACTCAATGTTAATTTGGGTTTGATCAAGCTTAGATTCATCAATCTCGATCTGTGGATCAGAGAACTTTGAATTAATAAATTTGCTGAAAAGTGCTATCTGTTCTCTAATTTCTTTTGAAGGCTACTAATCTATGCACTCAGCATATACTAAGAGATTCGCGGTTTACTTAAGCTATTTCAGTGCTTTTGCATTATAATCTTCTATTTCCATTAATATTTTTGCTGCCTTTTCTAAATTAGATTTTCCATTTTCTGAATTTAGATATTCTATTGCCCATTCTTTGAGATTTTCCTCTTACTTAACATCATCTAGTTCAGTTTTTTATTTTAAGGGCGGGTTAATCCTGACGTAGTTGTCATTCATTTATTTTGCGAACGTCTCAAGTAGCAGAGCATAATACTTTTAGACATCAAAGATTACATTAAATAATAACTCTCCACTATACCAATCTAAAATGCTGTGCTTGTTTTCAATATTATTGTCCAATATTTTAAATTTTTTACCAATCTTTGTTTCTAAATAAACTTTAAGCTTGTCTACTACCCCTTACTTACTTTCCATATTAATATCTTCATACCCAGTGCCGATTGAAATAACTCTGACGTTTTCTGATTTAACTTTCATTGCAGCATAAGCGAATCCTATACCTGCAGGATTATTAGCATAAACTCCTCCATCGATAAGCTCTAACTGCTAAAATATTTTACCAGGCAATTTTTAACTTATTTTTACTATATTAAAGAAGGTTGGTGCTGCAGAAGTAGCACATCCAATATCCATTAGCTTAAAATCCTAATCATATTCATTTTCAGAGTCAAAAATTTTAGCTGTAATATGAGGGCCACCATCACGATCTTTAAATTCAGCTGCTGTGATAAGGACTCTCAATTTCTTTCCAGTTTTGTTTAAATCTGACATTTTTGCATCATCTGAGACTTTCTTAAGCTTTTTATTCAATTTTTCCCTTAATTATTTTCTCAAACCTTCTTGATTGTATTTCGATTCTTCTTCCAAATTTTAAATAATGCCTGATGGATTTTAAAAGGTATCGAAAATTATCTCCTCCATTATGGAGACTTGTTTTTATGTGTTACTTTTAGAAGACTCCTTATTTTCAATAGCACTAGGTTCGCAAAGTTCAGTCGCACTATAGCCTGCTGCTAACATAAGAGCAAGTAATCCACCAGCAGAAGTACCAATCACACAATCAACTTTATCAGTTATTTTGAAATCAGGATGACCATCTTTTCTGATTTTTTTTTCTAATTCTGCTAAGATTTCAACTGTCATTATACCCCTCACTCCACCTCCATCTAAAGATAAGACTGTATATTTCTTCTCAAGGCTCTCAGAAGGGTTTTACCTTGAAAAATTATTCTTATATTCTACCATAGGCTAAATCAAATATCTTTTGTTTGAGAAATTATTTACTTTATTCGATATATTCGAAGATGATTATTTCTAAAATATATTGAATCTAATCTTAATACAAATGCAGAAAACTTCGAATATATTAAAACAAGATATCCTCTATTTCCAAGGAAATCTCTTGTGTGGGGTTTTGGGGTTTTGGGGTTTTGGGG